ATCATTTGCTGCTGCTGCTGCTGCTGCTGCATGATTTGCTGCTACTACCTCTGCTACGGCTGCATCACTTGCTGCTACTGCTGCATCACTTGCTGCTGTTGCTGCTGCTGCTGCTGTTGCTGCTGTTGCTGCTGCTACTACCTCTGCTACTGCTGCATCACTTGCTGCTGCTGCTGCTGCTGCTGCTGCTGCTGCTGCTGCTGCTGCTGCTGCTGGTGTGTTGTATAGGATTTGTTTCCTTCTACAGTAGACCCTATAACCCAGGCTGCATTGGATAGAGTGGCAGCTCAGGTGCGGCAGCTGCAGCAGAAGCAGCAGCAGCAGCAGCAGCAGCAGCAGCAGCAGCAGCAGGGATCTCCGCGTAATTCTGACGTAACCGACCTAACCACCACCACCACTACCAGCAGCAGCAGCAGCAGCAGCAGCAGCAGCAGCAGCAGCAGCAGCAGCAGCATGAATGAGAGCATCAGCGGTGAGGGTGTATATGTGCCTTTATTGGTGGATGCATGGGGTGTATATGCAACTGCTTCTAGCAGCAAACGTTTTTTTATAATGAAATCTAATAAAATAATAAATATATATTTATCTGTTTATTTTGGTTGCTGGGCCACAAGCAGAAACAACACAAAAAAACTAAACTCTTCTTTTGCTGCTGCTCATCACATCCTGCTGCTCTTCTCCGCAAATGAAAGCGGAGGCTTTCAAGGATATGCACGCATGATGACCCCCCCACTACCCCATCTACACCCTCGTTAGTCTCCTTTTATCTGTCTCCTTTTGTTTGTCTCCTTTTGTTTGTCTCCCTTTGTTTGTCTTGGTTTGTTTGTCTCCTTTTTTTTGTCTCTTTTTTGTCTCTTTTTTGTCTCTTTTTTGTATCTTTTTTGTCTCTTTCAAGGATATGCACGCATGATGACCCCCCCACTACCCCATCTACACCCCCGTTAGTCTCCTTTCTGTCTCCTTTTATCTGTCTCCTTTTGTCTGTCTCCCTTTGTTTGTCTTGGTTTGTTTGTCTTTGTTTTTTTGTCTCTTTTTTGTCTCTTTTTTGTCTCTTTTTTGTATCTTTCAAGGATATGCACGCATGATGACCCCCCCTCTCCCCCATCTACACCCTCGTTAGTTTTTTTTTTGTCTCCTTTTGTCTCCTTTTATCTGTCTCCTTTTGTTTGTCTTTGTTTGTTTGTCTCCTTGTGTTTGTCTTTGTTTTTTTGTCTTTGCTTTTTTTTGTCTCTTTTTTTTTGTATCTTTTTTTGTATCTTTTAAGGGATATGCACGCATGATGACCCCCCCACTACCCCATCTACACCCTCGTTAGTCTCCTTTTATCTGTCTCCTTTTATCTGTCTCCTTTTGTCTCTTTTTATCTGTCTCCTTTTGTTTGTCTCCTTGTGTTTGTATTTGTGTGTTTGTCTCCTTTTTTTGTCTCTTTTTTTGTCTCTTTTTTGTCTCTTTTTTTGTCTCTTTTTTTGTCTCTTTTTTTGTCTCCTTTCTTTTGACCCCCCCACTACCCCATCTACACCCCCGTTAGTCTCCTTTTCTGTCTCCTTTTGTCTCCTTTTGTCTGTCTCCTTTTCTGTCTCCTTTTATCTGTCTCCTTTTATCTGTCTCCTTTTATCTGTCTCCTTTTATCTGTCTCCTTTTGTTTGTCTCCTTTTATCTGTCTCCTTTTATTATATTTATTTCTTTGTCTTTATCTCTATTTATTATATTACATCTCTCTCTATATCTGTCTCTATTTATTATATTTATATTTTTCTCTCTATCTATTTTTATTTATTATATTATATTTTTTTTTATTTGTTGCTGCTCTCCCTCTCCTTGTATTTCCTCTTTCTGTTTTAGTTCCTTTTGTTGTTACTGCTTCTGCTGCTGTTGCTGCTGCTGCTGCTGCTGCTGCTGCTGCTGCTGCTGCTGCTGCTGCTGCTGTTGTTGTTGTTACTGCTGCTGCTGCTGCTTTTGTTTCTGCTGCTGCTGCTGCATCTGCTGCTGCTGCTTCTCTCCTTCCTACCGCTGCTACAACAACAACAACAACAACAACAACTCCTCTTCCTCCTGCTGCTGCTGCTGCTGCTGTTACTGCTGCTGCTGCTGCTGCTGCTGCTGCTGCTGCTGCTGGTATGTGTATAGGTTTATGGGGATCGGTGCAGCTAAAACTAGGTTATAACTTTCGTGTTTGTTGGCTGAAACAATGTAAATTAGAATTCGAAGAAATCGGAAAAATCACAAATCCTTGGAACGATGATTTACCCCTCAAAAAAAGCAGAGACGGAACCGTCAGTATACACACGATCCCAACGATCCCAACAACCCCACACACAACCCCACAACCCCCAACCCCACAACCCCACACACCCCACACACCCCACAACAGAAGCCCCCATACACAAACAGAAAAAAACAGAGACGGAATCGGCTGTATACACACGATCCCAACGATCCCAACAACCCCACACACAACCCCACACACCCCACACACCCCACAACA